TAATGGCGAGCCAGAGGGCAGAGGAGGCTGTGTGGAGGCAGCCAGCCTCTCAGATATCGTGCTTGGCTTGCAACTGGCTTCCTTCTTCCTTGCTCACAGAGCAGCCTCGGGTCTTATATCGTGCCCCATATTTTAGCCTTCTTTAGGTCTTTCCTTACAGTCTCTCCCTCCCTGACCCCAACCCCAGGTCAATATCGAGAAAAGCACTGGCATCGCCCCTCACCCTGTTATCCATTTATGGACACCTGTGTTCCCTTGATGTCTGTGTGCTCCTGGCCAGTTGCCCCAAGACTTCCACTGCAGACCTGAGCCGAGTGTGGCACTTGAGCTACGTGGCCTCTGAGGTCTCAGCTGAGCCATCAGCAAGGGGTGAGCGAGCAGTGGGTTTGAATTAGGGGAGATGACCAGCACCACACTACATTGAGCTCTGTGGAAGGAGTGGGCGTGCTCCAGTACGGTGGTGTGCTGCAGCCCTCCCATTGGGATCCAAGGTATGACTGAATCCACACTTCCAGAGACTTACCAGCCCCACTGAAGATGGCTGGCTTTTTGAGTCTTGACCGAGTCTGCCTATTGCATGTTCCCTGCTGCCTCTCCTTCAGGGTTACAGGTGTCCTCCATCCCTCCATTACTCTTCTGCCTTCCTGGCCTGGGAGCAGGCTAAATCAAATTTGTTTCCTTCTCCTGCCTCGCTGTGTCCAGTATCACTTATGTCTTCTGACCTGCCTGTCTCCCCTGTCCTGTCCATGCCTCTAGGCTCCCCACAGCAGCCCCCAGTTGCATTTATACTATCTCCTATCCCACCACTAACCTGACTGCATCCTCCCTGGCGCACTCATGACCGCTGGAACTCATAACTGGATTTTGGTCCCTCCCAGATGCGGTTAGGTTGGGAAATGAAGTGAGCTTTCCTTCTCTGTCACCTCCTTTTTTTAACATTTTTCCTCTTCTTAAGTAGCTGTTCCCTTGCTCTTCCTCTGACCAGAGAGGCTGAGCTGTGGCACACAGTGCTTTTGTCAAGGGAGAGGAGGGCAGGAGGGCTTTCCTCACGGACAGGCACAAGAGATCCCCATCTTCCAAACACCAGCACTGAAACAGCAGACAGTAGGGAACCATATGCCCAGCAGCAATACTACCGAATGAACAGCCAGGGAAAAGAGAAGGACAGGTGGACAAAAGGGATCCCAGTCAAGAAGCTTGTTTTGAAGCAGCGGTGGCAGCTCCAGCTCGGAGACCTCCCAGCACATGCCCATTTAACAGTCACTGACGTCCCTTCACCCGCCCCCCAGGCTGCCACAGCCTGCCTGCACGCCTGGCAGCCGCGTTTTCTGCCAGCATCCTCCTCTTGCACGCACTCCTGATTTTACCCCTCCATACCTGTTGCACCCAGGTGAGCAGGGTCAGGCAGGGGTGATCTGCTGCTGCATGCAGCCAGCAGGGAGCACAGGCAAGAGCAATGCCACAAACGGTGGAGCAAGTGCTTTCCCAAGCTCTGCTTGGCCTGCTCCTGTCCTGATAGGGAAACCTGGCACACGGAGATGATTAATGAAATGCCAGTGAAGGAAGGCATTGCCATCCATCAGGGAAAGCTTTTCCACCAGGAGGCTAGCACAGTGCTGGAGCAGGTGGTGGGATCTCCATCCGTGGTGGTTCTCAGGGCTCAGCTATGCAAATCCACAGCGATGTGACCTAGTGCTGGGGCAGTCCTGTGTACAAGCAGGGATGGAGCTACAGACCTACAGCACCTCTTCCCACCAACACTCCTGCTGTCTCTTGGAAATGACAGGGCAGTATGGAGCCTCCTTTTTTTTCTGACTTCCCTTGCTTGGGATACTTGCTGAGTAAAGGATTCCTACTGACACAGAAGATGGCTAGGGCAAAGGGCCAACTTTAGTCACTCCTGAGGAAGCCCAGAACCTAGAGAAAATCCTGCTACCCAGGGGACCACAGCACCCCTCCACTGGACCTCAATCTCACTGCAGCACAAGAGTTCCTTCTCCTCATCTTCCCTTCTTTGTTCACCTAGAAAGCACCTCTCCAGCTTCCGCCCCCACTTTATCAGCTCAGGGTCAGCAGTGGCACTGCTGGACCATACCTGCTGACATGCAGAGCTCCTCACCACAGCTCTTAAAATCATCCCTGTAGCCATTGTAAAAATATACACTTATTCACAAACATGCTGATGTTTATCTTACTTCCACGGATTTTAAGGCCAAGAAAGAAGCATTGCTTTTTCTGACCCTGTGCAAAACAGATAGTGCAAATTTTTGTAGCTCAGGTCAAGTAATTGTGTGGGACTGTGTCTCTAATTGCTGACAGCACAGTAAAAAGAGATTGAGCTTCTACCATTAGCGTCTGTGGAAAAATGAAGGTAGATTCCCCAGGTGGCTAATGCCCTATTAAAATCACATGCCTCATTTGGATTTGCCTAGCTATAACATCCATTGCCACGTTGCGATGCTCCTGCTCTCCCAGATCTCAGAACCTCTTGCTAGCTAATGCATCCTCCTTGCAAATGTGCTTCAGAGGTGAAACCTGTTCAAATTAGCTCCACAGCTTTCATGGAGGCTCTTTCTTTTAAGGCTACATCTCATCAGTGTGTCTATACCTCATCTCCCTGCTCTCCTTCCCTCTGAGTACCTCAGTGGTACCTTCTCCCTTGCACCACACTGCTGGAACGTTTCAGTGTAAACTCTCCAAGTCTGACCCCTAAAATTGCTTCTATCCACAAACAGAGGCAGATGCTGCAATGAACACACAACTTTTGGGTACCTAGCTGCCTAGCAAAGCCATCAGCCCTGTCAGCTGCCTGGATTTGGGTGCAAATATGAATAAATTGGCACAGAGGAACAGCTACCAACAGCAGCTGGGTGATCGCCAGAGTTACCAACACACAGAATAATACGTGTCTAATGGCAAAGGAGGGAAGGGATTTTCTTCTAAAAACCACCAGTCCAGGAGGGAGTTTTGGAGGCAGGTCTTCATGTGAAGGCAGTTCTAGGCGCTACAGCCAAGAGCCCAGGGCCTAATTGACCTTACCTTCTCAGCAGTTCCCCACTGATTCCATCACACAGGTGGGACTTAGAGACAACCTCTTTGGGAGCTCTCCGTATCCTCCCTAGCAGAGATGGACAGCCTGGGGGAGCAAAGCCTGCTGATGGGACCTTGGTCATTTGTGGATTCAGCCCCTACAAAAGTGTATGTATCCATGGGTGTTATGTATAATACAGTGTGTGCTCAGAGATACAAATTTTACACCCAAGTCTCTGAAACATGCAGTGTGGGATTTCAGTCCCTTCCTGTGGATACATCCAGACACGAGACAATACAACTGCAGGCTGCCTGCCCAGCATAGAACAGACATTACAGCATATGACATCACTGGAATTAGTGACCGACACACAATGCTGCTCGAGTCTCTTCTTTCCATTATGCACCACTGTCCCCAGAAGTTTTTGTTTGCCTTCTAACACGCCAAAGGTGCAGCAGCACAGTGCCCTACCTCTCCCTCCTGTCTTGCAGAGGTGAGCTGGCAGCACTCCGGAGCCTGGCAGGCAGGAGCTGCTGGCTGGCCGTCTTCATTGTATCCTGATAAGGCTTCTCCAATAGACTCTCTGTTTGGGGAGAAGGATTGTGCACAGTACAGTGGAACAGATATCATGACACATTATGCTGACTTCTCCCAACCAGCTTTTAATTTATGACAGCGTTTTTACCCCTCAGATCTGCTTTCAGTCTTTGCTTTGCCTCAGTTCTTGCTTTGCTCTGCCTCAGCTCTCACAAGCCACATTATCAGCAGCTTTCAGATACTAAAATACATTAAAGGAAGGTACTGAAAGGTGATCCAGCAGTCACGTTTTCCAGAAATCTCAGCTTTCAGGTAACAAAAGATTCCTACAGTAACAAGGCAGCTGCAAACACAAGTCTAATGTGACCAGCAGCCTTGTACCAGAAAGCAGAGAGAAGCCACCAAGCTTCATCCCCAGCTGTTGCCTCCCCAGTACCGCCTCTGAAGCTCGATGGCAGCATTTCAATGCCACACTCAACATTACCTCTCTGAGCAGTGATAACTATAATGGCTGAAATAAAGAACAGAAGGGGAGCAAACCACCAAAGAGAGCTGAAAATCTCCCCTATCTCTTCCCAGCTATAACAGAAGGCATGCCAAGAGAATGGAACGATGCTCAGCAAGAAGGAAGTTTTATTGACACAGCTAAGCCAGCAGCTGTTCCCACCTTTCAGAGGTGATTGACATAATTTGGAGATCCACTAGAAACCAGTTATGTTGGGATCCCAACCACGAGCATTCTCTCCCTGCTGCTGGGGTTATCAAGATAAACTGATTCTCAAGCCAAGACTGCAGGTTAGCGTAGAGATCTTGACAGGCAGCAGCAGCAAAGTGGGACAGGTTAGCATCGCTCCTGAAAGGACAGACCCATGGCTGGCCAGAGGTAAAAGCCCTTCCAGGTACAAGTTGCCCTGTAGCTGGAAGATTGCCATATGGTTTGAGTTTTGACTTGTATGCTAAAATCCTGTATTTCATCACTCCTTAAAAGGGGAAACCTAGAACTGGAAAAAAAGGCTGGAGGAGAAGAGGCAAGATTCAGACTACCTGGAAGCTCCTGTTCCCACACGCAGTGCAAAGCTTTTTGTGGCAAGGGCCCAGCTGAGGGAAACGAGGTGCCAGGCAGCACTCAGGACTCAACCTTGAGTGCACCGAGGAGCAGGCACAGCAGTGGGACCACCTCCCAGGGATGCAAGAGCCACAAAGCTGGGGCAGACCCATAGTCCATCTAAGCCCAGATACCAGTTTCCAGTGCAGGATGAGGACAGAGGAGTTTGTGACCAGGGTAAGTGGGCAGTGATCCCTCCTCACAACGCTCTCCAGGCTTTAGCAGTTCACAGCTTGTGGATGTACTGAGTCAGTTGTGTTTACCAACCATTACAAAAACCATTTTTCCTTGTGCATACAGCTGGGTTTTCAACCTGTATAAGTTGCTAACATCCACTGTATCCTGCAGAAAGGAGTTTCATGGCTACCTATACTTTTGGTGCATTTGATGGACCCTAGGGTTTTCATTTTTTGTGTTCGTTGGAAAAGAGCAAGCAGTTGTTCTCTGTGCATCTTCTCCACGCCACTAACAACTTTACACACTGTAATATCAGTTCTTTCCACGTGGTCTTTTTTCCAGGCTCTAAGAGGCTCTAGCTGTTTCTTCCACTGAAACCATTCCATAACTTAGGATGTATTTGTCCTCTCTGAACATTTCCCAGTTTTACAATCTTTATTCAGATGGGGGGCACTAGAAATGCAGTATTGAAGCAATAATTTCTTCTCTTTCAGCATTTATTTAATTATTCTGAAAGACACCAGAAAACTTCCCTCATATATCTGGCAACCCAGACCTCACCACACAAAGCTGGATTGAGACAGTTGCATTCAGAGGCTCCTCTCTGCCCTAATTCACTGGGAAGCATGGGAAAAAAGTAATATTCAACTACAAAGATATTTGTTTAATGGCTATTCAATACAAAACGACATTCAGCCCCACCCCCCCAACCAGAGTTATAGTAAATGAAATACACAGATAGACAAACCCTAAAAAGCAGAAGATAACCAGGGCTGCAACAAAGACCAGGACTCCTGAGACACAGAGATTGAACCACTACAGGAACCACTCAAATGCAACCTTGAAGAGCTTCAGCCAGAAACTTTGCAACTGATAAAAAGGCAGTTTTATCATGAGCTTCGTGGGAAGGAGCAAATTTATGATGGGCTGTTTGAGGGTGTGTGACTGTGTAAACTTTATCATGCAACGTGTTAAGGAAGATTATGGGAGGAAAACTTACTATGGGATGTTTTGGGGAAGGATTGAAGGAGGGGAAAGGGAGGCATCAAGCTAAATCAGGGAGAAGTGAATATGGGAAATGGGAAATGGAGACAAGGAATAAATAGAAGGAGCCAGTCACACAGAGAATGGCTGCTGGTCAGCATGCCCCTCTGGCTGAGCCCTGCTCCTGATTACCACCATCTGTCCTGGCCTTGTATTAAACTAATCCCAGCTGTTTCCTCTGCACGTATGCACGTTGGTGATGTGTTAGCTCACTGCAACCTGGACTAGCCTGGAAGTAGGAAAAGAGGTCTGAGGACCAGCTACCAGCAACCCATGAAAGTGAGGGCAGACAATCCACTAGGTATGGTCTAAGTTTCATGGGCCAGGGATTAAGAACAGGGTTAGGCCTCTTTTGTTATTCATGCTTTATGAGTGCTGTCTGTTTCCCTGGGTACTCACCACAGTAGTTTTCCTCAGTTTCTGCTCATTGGTCTGTGCCAGCTTGCATCAGTAGTGCATGTGTGTGTCTGACAGGGGTTCTGAACCACTTGCTGAACCTGGTAACATGGGAAAGCTGCAGTCTCACATGTAGCATAGCAGACCAGGACAGAAAAATTCCCTAGGTCTTACAGCCCACTGCATTCAGCTGTCCTTAACACCAAACACTGAAACAGCTCAAGTTCTCCCATGAACTCAAAGCTTGGCAAGGAAAAAAAAATCAAGGTAAAGCCTTCTGTGGGCTGAGCTAGTGAGAGAATTACAGAAGCAAGAGATATGCCTCAGGTCTGTTACACACCCAACTCCATGCACGCTGTGGTAGAACAAAAGACTTTTCTAAGCACACTTAGAAAACTTACTATTAAGGAATTGTCTCTAGAAAAAGATTTATTCACTGGAGACAAGAACCAAAGAGAATATTCCTCACACTGACAACAGAAAGGGACCTAGGGTGATGTTTAAATAGAAACAGCCCAGACCACTGTTTGGTATGTCTTGAGGAGAAACAGCCACATTTGTGTAAACAAACAAGCAAAAAGAAACATGACTGTACAGCTCCAGAACCAACAGCGATCCCTGCTCCAGTCTGGGAGGCCAAGAACCAAGAGACTGCTGGGGACCAGCAAAAGGGTGAAATGGGGACAGTCACAACAGTGAACTGGTAGCACTTAGTGACAATGGGGAACTAGGGAACAGCATAGGACCAGTGCCTAGGAGCTCCAGCCTGACAACACACTCAGCTGGACAGGCACCACATAATACAGCCTTCCTGCAGGGAGCTAGGATTTCAACTCCCACTGCTTCTTCACAAACATCCACATCGCAGGGGATAAGGACAGACACCAAAAATGCCAGGGCATCAGCATGGAGTGGAAGGAGAGTAAGGGGGGACATGGCAGAATTCCCTGCTCAAGAGAATGTTTCAGAATGTACTCCATGTTTAAGGGAAAAGGACAAGACTTGAGCAAGAATATAAAACTTTTAATGGGTCCGTGCATCAGTCCTTGATGCAGAGGGAAAGGAGCAAAGGAGGCTATCGCTGTCCCAGGTGTCCAGAGCTGCAGAGATGATCTGCACAGAGTAGCACAGTGGTGGTACACACATAGCTGCAGCAGCCTTTGCTCTCTGAGGAAGGGACCAACACCTGGAAAAGCAGTTCCTTTCACTGTCCATTCGGTTTCACTCTATGTTTCTTCTTCCTGGTAGGGATTTTAGGACGCATCATTTTGGGAGAAGGCCGGACAGCCTTTAAGGGTCTCCTCTGTGCCTGCAATGAATGTTTCTTCTTCAAAGTTGGTTGTGGCAGCTTCTGCTCTTTGTCAGCTTTTGATCCCTCAAGTTTCTTCTTTTTTGGTGGAGGTTCCACAACAGTCTCAGGGACAGCAGACAGAGTTGCTGCTTCTGCAGCAGGTTCTTCATCTGAAAGGAGAGAAAGGCACTGTAAGAAGCATCCCCATGGCTTTTGCAGGGGAAGGAGCATGTGAGAGCAGCCCTGGGCAACTCAGCCAAGTTCCAGCACTACATTACCTTTCTGTGCCTGGGGTATGGCATTAGAGAATTTCTTGAATTTGGCAATGAAGAACCCATCCATATTGTGTGTGTGGGGATAAAAACGCCGCGTAGACTTGAGGGAGGGGTGGAAGCGACGGTCCTTGAACCTGGGGGAGGAAGTGGGGTAAGAACTGATAGAATACCTCTGCTCAAGCCTGGCCACTAGGGAACAGTCACCTGTGCAGCTTGTGACCTGACACGCACCTGGTGAAGCCTTCCTTGCCAAAGTCCAGGCCCGTGGCCACCAAACGGACGTTGCGTTTCTTCAGGGCATAATCCACAACCCACTCGTTCTCCTCCACCTGCCAGGGGCTAAGCATTAGGATCCAAAACTCACCAGTCCCCTGAGGGTGAGGTGACCGCAGAAGAGCGTGGAAGGGACTTACCATGATGGAGCAAGTGCAGTAGACAATGTAGCCCCCTGTCTCTGAGGCAGCATTGACTGAATCTATAGCGCTAAGAATCAGCTCCTTCTGCAGGTGAGCACAGCGCAAGATGTCTTTCTCATCCTGTAAGAGAAAGACAGGTCAGGATGCCAGAGGCATGAGGAAGAACCCCAGGCCTCTACTATGGATGGAAGACATGACAGGAGAACAAAGCACACATGACATAGAAGATTCTGGAATCTTCTGCAGAACTAATCTCAAAAAACTAGCTCTGGTATGGCACACAGAATAGGAAGGAGATGGAAAAATCAGTGTCTCTATTGCAGGCATCTCTCAAGAAAAAAGCTGTCCCAAAGTCCTTCCTCTCATGACTCATCCTTGAGTCCCCACTGGTCACTCACCTTGTTGGTTTTGACAGCAGGATCCTTGGAAATGACACCTGTTCCGCTACAAGGAGCATCAAGCAAGACACGGTCAAACCCTCCAAGCACCTACAGGCAGAAGTACATTTGGAATTACACTCACAGTGGGGACTCAGAACAAGACCAAGACTAGAACAGGAACCAGAAGACTAGGAAGGCAGGAAAGATTCCTCCCTCCTCCCTGTCCATCTTCCTGCCTCTGTTTCAAATACCAAACACACTCCCCAGCAGCTCTGCTCATCCTCTTGTGACTTTGGAGAACACAGCTTTACTAAGGGGACATCACAACAGGTCTAGGTAAGCATGGTAAAGACACCTCAAAACAGGCAGGAGCATACCTTGGGGAACTGGCGTCCATCGCAGTTACTCACGACAGTGTTGGTGACTCCCAGCCGATGCAGATTCCCTACCACACTGCGCAGCCGCTCGGCGTTGCTGTCGTTGGCCAAGATCATACCTGTGTTCTTCATAAGCTGAGCTGACAGAGGGCAAAACACATCAGCAAGGGGCTGCAAACCTCCCACGCTTTGGTCTGTAGGGACTGCTACCCCCTCCTTTCCTTAAATTCAGTCCCCCTCTATTTCCCATTTCTGTATAGACCAGTGGAAACTCATCACAGAGCATCCCTCCCAAGGCTCCAGGGCGGTACCTATGTAGCTGGTCTTGCCTCCTGGGGCACAGCACATATCCAGGATGCGCTCGTTCTCCTGTGGAGCCAGAGCCATGACAGGGAGAAGACTGGAGGCTCCTTGCAGCATGTAGTGTCCAGCCAGATACTCAGGGGTGGCACCTGAGCAAGGAAGGCAGAACAAAAGAAGATGACACGTGATAGAAAGGGAAGCCAGAGCGGGTCAGCTCGGCCCTACAGCTGGAAGGGTGATCTCACCGATGGGCACAGAGGAGTCATAAATAACAAGTCCTGTTTTTGACCACTTCCCCAAGGGATCAAGATTCACGCCACGGTTGATCAGAGCCTGCAAGACAAGGAGAAGGGACTGAAACACCGCTTCCTGTGACAGGAGGTGCAGGAGACAACCCCTGGTTCCTGCTCACCTGCGCCAGGTCCCGTCGCCGTGTCTTCAGTGTGTTGGTGCGAATAGTCACAGGGCGGGGAACCTCATTGGCTTCCAGGAAGTTTATCAGCTGGGTGAAAGAAGGGGCAGAGAATACGGACAAAAAATGAAGACCCAGGGAGGCAGCCAAATCCTCACCAGTCAACAAAGCTATGGGAAGGGCAGGATCCCACCTCAGGGAGTGGGAAGATGTCCATGAGCTTCATGAGCAGGAAATCACTGTAGGAATAGTAGGCAGCCATGTCCCGGCGCAGCAACGCCAAGTACTCCTGCCGCGTGCGTCCCTCCTCCCGCCTCACCACGAAGTCCTGCAGCACCTCCATGTTGCCCTTGATGCGCTGGTGAATGACGTGCAGGTCGGGCGGCTCAGCAGGTGGGAAAACCATTAAGGAATCATGAACAGACACGAAACCCTCACAGAGGCTCTTTACAAGTACAATGAGTCGTGCAGGACTCGCGCACCACAACAGCACATGTGCCAGAAAGGCTTTGTGGGAATACACCCTCTCAGCAGAACTCAGCAGAGCAGGGAATCAAAGGATGGAACTGGACAAAAAAGTTCCCAAGGCAGGACTACAAGGTGTTTAAAAGAATTGGGTTGGTTACTTTTAGATAAACAGAAAAAGAATAGGAAAAATAAAAAGATCCAACAAAAGAAGTTTTTTAATAGTGAAAACATTATCTGTATCAGAAAGGAGACTAGAAGTTCCCCAAGGGCAACCAAGGGATACAGAGGGGAACGAGAAGAGACAGGATTAAATTGTACTGGGAGGCAGGAAATTAAAATCACCAAAGTCCAGGAGCAAGCACTTTGGATGCTGGAATTGCTGTCATCAGAGGCTCTAGGAATGGGTTACACAAACACCTGCCAGGCAAATCAGGGTAGAGAGAAACAAACTACATGATAAGATATCCATATGTATTTAGGACTAGAAAAGAAATTAGGACAGGCTCCAAGCTCCATATAGGGTGTAAGAGATTTCATAACTGTGCTGTACAGAAGCACAGCATTATATACTATCTATTAGGACAGCTCAACTAAAAATACATTGTCACGCACAAACCCTCTTGCTAAGCAATATGCATGATAAAAGTCCAAGTGAAGCTCTTTGATTGTATCCAGGCCCCGTGCTGCATGCCTATGGCTTATGGATGTCACAGATAAAAAGGATATTCTCTTTTTCAATCTCTTCATTAGATGGCAGTTTAAATTGTTCATCTATATCTAGGTTGAGCTGCAGATCTGGGTTCTCTTCCTCCTTCTGTCCCATTTTCTGTCTGTCTATTGTCTCTGCTGCCTCTTCCTCCTCCTCTTCCTCCTCCTCCTCCTCCTCCTCTTCCTCTTCACTGTCATCTTCACTGAGGCCTTCCCTAAGGACAAAGAACGGGATAGATGCTTTACACAAGGAGAGAATCACACAGACACTTCACAACTACCACTTCTTAGATGGCAGAAAGGGTGGAAGAATAAACAACACAGGCTCCTCATCTAGCCAGGGAAGGCTCTGGAGCCTGGTGATGTTCTCATATCCTCACCTGTCAGGCTTCTGCTTCAGGGCAGCTTTTTCAATAGGCAGCAACTAAACAGAGACAAAAGATTAATGAAGCATCCACAGTTGCTCCCTTACTTCCCACCATCTGTGAAATTTACTTGCTCTGTTTAAAAAGGACAACAAACAAAAGCACTTAATGTTATGCTACTAAACTTGAAATTGTTCTTTTGAAAGGAAGAAGGGGAAATCTCTCCACTACCTCACCATCCTGCCCCCCCCCAGTAAAACCATCCTTTTTCCCCAGGCCTGATGGGTCCTTTCAGCCAGCAACATCAAGTATTCCTTGTAGAATTACGAGCAAAAAGTTCCTACCTCTTCTTCTTCTGATGATGAGGCACCGTAATCATCGACCATCTCCTCGCTGCTCCCATCCTCCTCCTCCTCCTCCATCTCCCAGTTGCCCTCTTCCACCTCACCATCGCTGGATAACTCCACATGGTTTCCTTTAGATTGGATTTTCTTGGCTTTGGCTGGAGCCAGCCATTTTGAATTGTCATCACTGAAGCCAGATCGGCCACGAGTGGTTTGTCCTGCTGCCTTTATGGCACATTTCTCCTGTGTGGACACCTGCTCTTTAACTATGGACAGAAAAAGCAGGTAAAAATTAGGGATTATTCCCAAAAGCAGCTGCTCTGTTTTTCCAGTTGTTATACAAAAAGGCCTTCATCTGAGTCCTGAGCTGCCTGTCCAAGAGAAGGGACTGCTTGCTCTCCAAATCTCAACCATAAAGAAGGGCATATTCTCATGTTTCCCCTAGTGAAACCATAGGGAAATCTAACTAGAACTACCAAACTAAAGCACTGCTACAAAATTCTTATGGTATTTCCTCTGACATATTACAGTGCCCTCCTTCCCAAATCTTTGTCTATCCTTCCTTCTTCCTACTGCAACAGCTTCCTGGGCTACACAGGGCATAACACAGCGATTTAAAAACCTCAGCTACACAACCGGCCTGCAATAACCTTGCTGTGAAGGGAGGATAAGTCAGAAATGGATTTAGCACATAGAAGAGAGACCTTTTACTAGTTCTTCAGACAGCACTGCTGCCTGGCATGGCAACCACCAGAAATCAGGTAGAATTCATTGTTATTATCTATTAGAGAGCATCCAAGGGATGGCCATGAAGATGGTGAAGGGCCTTGAGCCGTATGAGAAGCAGCTGAGATCACTTGGTCTGTTCAGCCTGGAGAAGAGGAGACTTGAGGGGAGACATTACTGCAGTTATAACTTCCTTGTGAGAGGAAGAGGAGAAACAGGCATTGATCTCCTCTCTGCGGTGACCAGTGAGAGGACCCAAGGGAATGGCCTGAAGTTGTGTCAGAGAAGGTTTAGGTTGGATATTAGGAAAAGGTTCTTCAACCAGAGGGTGGTTGGGCATGGGAAGAGGCTCCCGAGGGCAGTGGTCACAGAACCAAGCCTTACAGAGTTCATTGCTCTCAGCCACACGATGTGATTCTTGGGGACGGTCTGGTCCAGGCCAGAAGTTGTACTCGATGATCCTTGTGGGTCCCTTCCAACTCAGGATATTCTATGACTTCATGACTTAAAATAATGAAATTCCACCTGTCCCGTGCCGTAAGAGGTCATAGCCTGACTGTGGTGGTGGGGATACCCCGGGGAGCAGCAGGACAGATGGGCTATGGGCCCGTCACCCCGGTTCGGACCCCGCTCCCACTCACCTGCCGGCTCCCGCCCTCCTCCTCCTCCTCCTGCTCCGAGCGGCCTCTTCCCCGCCGGGCCACTGCCCGCTCCAGCCGCCTCTTTCGCAGCCCTGGATCGGGAGGGGAAGCGGCGATCAGCCCCGGCCCCGGCCCGGCTCCCCCGCCCCGCCGGTTCGCCCCCCTCACCTCTTTCTCCGTGACTGAAGCTTTCTCCTGCCGTCTCCGCTCTGCGGGAAGACACGCGGCGTCAGGCGGCCCGGGCGCCGTGGGGCGGCCGCGGGCCTGCTCGGGCCGGACTTACCTGCGGAGGAGCGGCCAGCTCCACCTCGGCCCCGCGCTGCTTGCGGGCCTTTGCGCCCGGGGCCGCGCTTCTCCTTCCTGTGGGATCGAGCTTCCGCCCCATGGCCGCGCCCGCTCTCCGCGCGCCTCCGCGACCGCCGCCACCGCACTGTGCGGCTCCCCCGTCGCACCGCGCACGCGCACGCCGCCGCACGCCCATTTGGTCGGAGCCGCCGCTCCTGCGCGTTGATTGGTCCGCAACGGCAACGTCGGCAGCACCGCCCGCCCCCCGGGACACGTGGGAGGCGCCGGCGCTGCCGGGAGCGGGGATCGCGCCCCCGGCGGGAACGGGCACCGCGCAGTGTCACCCTTCCCGGGGCACTCAGGTGGCAGCAGGCTGCTTTACGCGCTTGGCTGAGTAAACACGGAAAACGCAGGCAGCAGAGAAGGGGAGTGGCACATAGGCAAGGCGAAAACAAGAATTCAGAGGTGGGGGATATCACAAAACCTGCTCTCGGAGAGGGAGTTGAACATCAGGAGGAATTTCTTCGTGGAAAGGTGTTGATTAATAGGGGAATGGGCTGCCCAAGGAGGTGGTGGAATCACCCTCCCTGAAGGTGTTAAAGAAACAACAGGACATGGCACTTCAGCAAGTGGAGGAGGTGGTGATCGGTCATAGGTTGGACTCAGCTTTGGAGGTCTTTTCCAACCAGAATCATTCTGTGGGGCAGGACAGAGCGTGGCCCTTGAGTAAATACTTACCCAACTGGTCTAATGCTAAATAGAGACAACAAAATAAAATACAAGGAAACTTTATTTTTCAGTTTTATCAATGTTTTGCTCTGGTTTTTTTGTTGGTTTTTTTTCACTGTTGTTTGCTTTTGTCTTCAAGCTGCTTACTAGTGGATGAGTCCGGTCAGTTTTTGTATTAAAAAGGATTTTGATGGAGGTAGCTTTGTCTCTGTCCTGGCTTTTACTTGGTCTTGCCTGCGCACTCTTCTCAGTAAACAAACTCAAAATAAAATTAAAAACAAAAACTGGAATTCCAGGCGGAGGCAACGAGCAACACAGCCAGGTTCTCCGTGTAACAGACATGGCGCTGGGGCCTCCAGTCACTATATACAGAGTCCATCATACATCCATCCCCCTCTCTCCTAAACACACTCCTTGCTCCAACGGGCTGGCTGCAGAGGAAGGAGTTTCTTCTCCTCCCAGAGACCTGAGCAGCAGCTTCCATGGAGGGAAACAGCACCCAGTCAGGAATGTCAGGCAGAGGGGTAGAGTGTGAAGGGGTGGGGTGGGGTGGGGTCACTTCAGCTTGGCCAAAACTTCAACAGCACTGGGCCAGGGACTCACTGCTGCTGGGCCACCTGTAGGGCGAGAGAAGAGGATCTGAGACTCGAGGGCTGGTCACCAGAGCCCAGCTTTGCCCACGGAGCCCCCCCCCGCCCCAGTAGCAACGCTTACTGACCAGAGAGGGTACATACTTGTTGGGGCGGGGGCGGTGGCGGGGGCTCACTGCTGCGGTTGGCCAGGCGGCTGAGGATGTTGCGCTCGGACATCTGGAGGCGCACTGCCACGGGCGGGATACGGGCAATGGTGGCAGGCAGACGAGTCACATCTGCCTTCATGTCACTCAAAAGCTCCTCCAGCTGCTTCAGAACTAGAAGAGAAAGGGACATCTGTTCCGAGGGGAAAGGGACACCCCAGAGGGAAAAAACGAAAGGGGACAGTAATGGTAAGCACCTACCCCAGCCTTGTTTATCACACCGCATTACCTTTGTGCAGCACAGCATTGGCCGGTTTATTCCCGGCCATTGACTCCTTGGATAGATGCTGGTGGCTCTCAGCCAGGCATTCCACCTCTGCAAAACGTGTGTTCAGAGCCATAGAAGGGTGAGATGGGTCTTCGGACATGTTCAGATAGGCAGCTCGCCGCAGCTGCTCCTCGATCACCAGTGCCTGCTCCAGGAGCTGCAAGGGGGGAGGAATGCGTCTGTCAGCAGCTGCCTGAAAGGGGGGGCCTGTTTGCACCCCTAGTCTTACTCCAGTTCTTCACCCTCTCATGAGATTCTGCACCTGAGCCTCCTTTCACCAGCCTCTTTTACTGAGTAGCCCAAAACAATAAAGGCTTCATGAAGCTAAGCCAGGTACACAAGAAAACCAGGCTACATCAGGTTTAATGAAAGGCTACTACAAATCCTCTTGGATTCTCATTCCTCCTCAGATTCTCTTTACAGACCAAGTTGTTTGCCATTTTACTCTTCCTTTGAGACAAAGGGGATGGAGATTTCTCACTGAGTCCAAGTGAGAAGTGTCCCATGCTACTTACAGGAAGAATCTGAAATCTTATAAGCATTTGGAGAAATCAACAAGAATCCTGTCAGTGCAGAACTGACCATCCAGACTATAATGAATTAATGTTTTGCCCAAAGACTGAGACCTACATGGCCTTTATTTGGATTGGTCTTAAATCACTCCCACAGCTAAGCCATGTTCACTACTGAAGAGGATGAGGTAAAGACTGAAGGCAACCCTTTCACCAATCCATACAGTTCTGTTTAGGCACATGGAGTAGGCTGTAGCAGACAAAGCCACTTCAATCTTAAGCCTCCTGCATATCAGTTGTTGAATAAACATTTGGATAGAGAGCACTGAACCAAGCTCCCCGGTACCATTTCCAGAGAAAAGAGAACTATCATGGAGCAACTGCATGACCCTAAGATATATTATTCATTTTTTAATTTCCCCTAAAATGAAAGGCACTGCAGAAACCTTTTACTTTCTTAATGGAAACTCAGAACTGAAGCTTTTGTTCTTTAGAGGTCCAGCCAGTTATCAAACTGAAGACAAATTCTTACCTTAAATCTCCTTGCCAAGAACTTATTCTTTATTTCCAGGAAGTTACCCCTGTTCATCTCACCCTTGAAGGGTTCATTGAGGATGGCGTAACGTGGATCATTCTGAATATCCTGCCAACGGGCATAGCCATGACTGAGATGGGATGAGCTCAGGCAAACAAAGGCAGTGAGAACAAGGGAATACACAGCCCAGGCAGTACCGTTCTTCAGAGGGGGTGGGGAAAGGGGGCACACAGAGGGGAGGAACAGGAGCCAAGGAAAAGGAATGAGAACTATGTCCTGCTAAGTGTTAACTGTGCTGGCAGGAAGCTCCTCCTCCCACCATCACTACCACTCTTCTGAAAGAGGATAAAGCGCTATCACTCAGCCTACTCCGGACAGACCCAGGACTGTCACCTTCACAAATTATATGTACAAGGCAGGAAAATGGATCCATCATGGCAAGGATACTTGATAATCCCAGCAAGGAGCCAGTAGTCATGACGCCGATGCCAGATCTCATAGGTCTTCTTTGTGACAGTTGCAGCCCGCTCTTCATTCTGCCAGAGGGAGTGTAGTTCTGGAAAGGCAAGAGACACCAGAAGGGTTGGAAGTTATTTCACAAACACAAGCAGGGCCATATAAACCAGTTCAAGCAGATAAAGATCTCATACCAGTGAAACCACCATCTGCTATGTTGAACATGAAGCGCTGCTTTACTGCCTTCTTGTGCCTTTCATCTACTGACTCTTTCAGCATCTCTCCATTTTGCAGCATCACCACGTCTCTCTTATCATCATCCTTTTTCTCATCTGTACACATAGGAAATTATTAGAAAAACAAGATACCACACAAGCTGGACCCACAAGGACTCCTTGCAGAAGAGAGGTTAAGGGAGAGAAGGGAATTATCATTCCTCACACCTTTCTCATCCAGAGTGATTATAGGAGGTTCAGGAGGATTCTCAATAGGTGCTCTGTCCTCCACTTTCTCCACATCAGCTGCAGAAGGAAAAGGGAACATGAGATATAGAGGAACACAGCAAGTCCAGTTTTATTCTTCAACCAGAGAAACCCAATACTGTTCTGTAACACCCCAGTGTTTTTCTACATTCAGGCCTGTTTTTTTAGGATGAAGTGTTTTGTACCTTTGCTCTCTACTTCCATTGGTTCATCTGGTCTTTCCTTTACTTCCGGCTCCTCTACTTTTTTTTCATCTGCTTCTGTGGGGTTTGCTGGGGATTTTGCTTCCTGTGGTGGTGTCTCCACAGGCTGAGCACCCTGCAGAGGACAGCAATCAGTGAGAGGCAAGGTAAAGCAGTCCGTGGAAACAGAAGACAGCTACAGCAATTTAGAAAGCAAAGATGCACAAAACTGTCAGGCCAATTCTGAGGATCTGAGAGTTACCTTTAAATATCACTCCAAGAACTCATCTCTGTCTTATCAGCTGAACAACAAAGAGAGGTCAGAAGTAGAGAAATTTGCAAGAGATATTGTGAGGCAAACAAGCCACCCAAGACTCACCTCCATTGGGACCTCTGTTTCAGTAGCAGAGGCATTGAGCTCTTTCTCTGATTCAGATGGCTCTCCTTGCTCCTTAGCACTGGCTCCTTCTTCTACTTTTACTCCTTCTTCTGTGTATTCCCCACACCAGAGCAGCACAGCAGACAAAAGAAGAGAAGCCATCAGTAAGGTCTTCCCCTCCCAGTTACCAAGCACACATCTCCTTTGCTCCCAGAGATCAGACCCATCAAAATGGAACCAACATCGCTCAACACAACCACCCCCACCCCTTTCCTGCCCACTACAAATGCTGGACTTCTCACTGATGTCAGCTTATCCAAGGAAAGCTAGTGTCCTCTCTTGCCTTTAAGGGTTTGCACATGTCTTTGGCAGCCCTCCTAACACGAGAGTAAGTTGATCTGCGTCCACCTCCAGACCCCACCACCACAGTTCCGGTGAGGGGAACAGTCAGGATCAGGTCAGGACGCAGGGCTGTACAAGGGGGGAGCCCTCACCAGGTGGAGGAACGGGGGCAGGTGTATTCGGCTGTGTATCCCCTGGTGTTGAAGGAGTTGGAGTTTTTGGAGAGGGAGAGCTTGGCTGTGAAAGTTTCTTGTTCTCCTCTATCTCCGCCAGTTCTGGCATACTCCAGCGGCCGTTCACATGCTCAAATTCCTGCACCTGCACGAGAGGGAAAGACATATCATTGGAGAGTCATACAAAGCTCATCCTCAAACCAGCAGAGGCGGATCACTCAGCATACAACAAAAGTAGGTGTGAAAGGAGAGGTAACTCCCTAGCTC